AGTGGAACAGAATCTGGAGTCCAGAAGTAAACCTATGTTTAAATGGATGAGTAATTTTTGACAAAAAAGCGAAAAACATTCAATACAAGAAAAGAAAGCCTCTTCAATAAATGGTGCTGGAAAGACTGGAAAGCCACCTGCAAAAGAATGAAACTAGATTTAACCCAAGTTAACTCAAAATGGATTAAGGACCTGAATATAAGACATAAAACAATAAAATGCATAGAAGAAAACATAGAAGAAAACTCAAAGACCTTGGACTTAAAGAGGATTTTATAAATTTGACCCGAAAGGCAAGGGAAATAAAAGCAAAAATAAATGAATGGGTCTACATCAAACTAAAAAGCTTCTGCTCAGCAAAAGAAATTGTCAACAAGGTAAGAGACAACCATCTGGGTGGAAAAATGTATTTGCAAGCAACACCTCTGATAAGGGGCTAATATACAAAATATACAAAGAACTCATACAACTCAATAACAACAACAACAACAACAACAACAAAATAAATGATCCAATCAATAAATGGGCAGAGGACCTGAACAGACACTTCTCCCTAGAGGACATACAAAAATGCCGACAAACATATGAAAATATGCTCAACATCGCTAGCTGTTAGGGAAATGCAAATCAAACATGCAAATCAAAACCACAAGGAGACACCATCTCACACCTGTTAGAATAGCTATAATGAACAAAACGAGTAATAAATGTTGGAGAAGATGCAGAAAAAAAGGAACCCTCATACACTGCTGGTGGGACTGCAAATTGATACAGCCACTATGGAAAACAGTATGGAGTTTCCTCAAAAAACTAAGAATTGATCTACCATATGATCCAGCAATCCCTCTACTGGATATTTACCCCAAAGACTTGAAAACCCATATCCAGTATGTTGGTGGAATTGCACAAAGGGGTATAGGAAACGTTTTTGGGTAATGGAAATGCTCTAGATTGTTGTGGTTTCATGTGTGTATACATCTTTCAAAACTCATCGAATTGTACACTTGAAATAGGTGCAGTTTATTGTACATAAAGTAAATGTCAATAAAGTTGTTTATAAAAGATTTACCTTAGGATCATTAAAATAAGATTTTATTGAAAATTATTTATTGAACCTTAAAATAAGATTTAAAATTTGATTGATTACACAAATGAAACAGTCTACCTGTAAATTTCTTCAAGGTGTGATGTGGGTGAAATGTGATCAATGGAAGAGTTTTTTTAATAGGTGAAGAAGAGGCGATATCAGTGCATTTTAGTTCATATTTGGTATCTCTTTTTTAATGTGGAATACCCCAACAGTAAAACAAATTAATTAGTTTAGATTATCTAAAATTGATCTCAAGTGTTTAGAGAGTTTCCTAGTCTGGCCCTTCCAAAGTAGATAGCATGAGACACAGTGATAACAAAATAGCTTATGCAAAGCCAAATTGAATATCGCCTATGATATCAACATTTTGTATTCACTGAATGAAAATTGTATTTGGAATTGTTTGCCTGTACATTATTTCATATTAAAAATTGGATTAAAAAATTGCTATACTCATATATCGAATAGCAGGGTGGTTCCTTAGGAAATCCAATATGATAAATGAAGCATTAATTTTAAGATCTAGCTTTAAATGCTATGCATCAATCAATATGTATCCTTTACGTAGTCTCCTCCAGAATCTTTTAGAATTTTTTTTTCCAATCTATGAGACAATGCTGGTGAATTCTTTTCTTAGTAGTCAATATGGAAATAGGAAGCCCTGAACTAATCCTAGAAATAATATTGAATCCAATTAATGCCACCTTGTCATGTGTGCATATGGAATGTAACAAAGAGTAGCTAAAAATAAAGAAATAAATTTTTCCGAAATACTACACAGGTGTTGTGAGAATACTTTCAACTGAGTTAGAAATCAGTTGCCTTATTAGTTATGCTTACATGTTAGTGAAATTGTAAGTATTCTATAGTGGTAATACGGGAACCCTTGCATTGATTTCATAATTATTTTGACCTGTTTATTTTGGATTGATGGTAGGAGACCCTTATTAGAATAGGGTTGGTCGGAATGGAGTGAGGCTAGGTCAACTGAATTCTAAATGCCAGTCATGGGTTCCTTAGTGATGATGAACACCGTGCTTAGGCTACCAGCCTATGGCTTATTCACTTGTTTTTCGTCATCACACAAGGGCTCAACTACAATCCCGGGCTCCGGCTCCGGCTCCGGCTCCGGCTCAAGCTCCAGCTCCATCTCTGGCTCCAACTCGGTTTCCGGATCCAGCTCAATCTCCGGCTCAGGTACCTGGACAGGCTCAGGTCTTGGGGCAGGCCCCTGGGCAGGCTCCGAGGCAGGCTCAGGCTTGGGGATAGGCTCATGATCTGGCCCCAGGATGGTGTCAGAATCAGTCTCATGGAAGGAAGGTGGCAGAGTTGATTCTAGTTGGATAACGTCCTCAGATGGCATCGTCTCGAACTCTGTACCTTGGTTTACCTTTGTCATTGGTCTGCAGGAAGAATGCCCAGGGAAGACTGTTAAGGTTCGACATTTCACATGGAGTCATAGGCTCTGTAGCTTCAGTGACCAGGTCCCAGTCTGTTCAGGACTTCTGTGATTTGTGATATTCTGTCTCACTGTCAGACTACGTGTCTCCATTTTGGGTACAGAAAGGTTGTGTCTCAACAATATTATGAGAATTCAAGAGAGAAAAATCAGTATTTAAAAGATGAGAAAACTGCTATCAGGAGGAAATGTTCTAAAGATTTAATAAAGTCTTCGAGGACCAAATCCATGTCTCAGGTGCATCTAGCTCCGACTTCATCTAGCACAATACTTGGCACCTGGTTGGTACCCAATACATAGTTGTGGAAGCATATAAATGGACAGATGAACAAATGAACAAGTGTGATATACATTCGAGAAGAAAGAGAGTGGGCAAGAGCATGGACTATGGGCAGGGTCTCATTCTGACTTCTATTGGTCTAGGCACTTTTACCTTCATGGGCCCCTTTTTCATAATGAAAAGTATTAAAAATTATATTTTATGACTGAGTTAGCAGAAATACAAGTATATTAATATGATAAAAGAATTTTTTCTTAGACCTAAAAGAATGGTTGTGGTAGTTAAATGAGTTGGTGTAAAGTGCTTAGAACAGAGTCCGGCACACAGTGCTCAGTAAACCGTAGCCATCATCATTCTTTTATAAAAGCAGTGAGGGTGAGCAGAAAGATATCCCCAATATCCTAAAAAGAGTGCTTAGGAAGAGCTGACTGAAAAGAGATATGCCTGAGAAATGTCCATATTCAAGTAAAGACAACAAAATAAGGTCTTACTCGAGTTCTGCAGTGGTTTTAGAATTTCTCTTCCTTTCTTTCCTCTTTGTCTTTGCCTTGCTCCTTGCGAAGCACACCACAGAAGTGACAATGGCAGCACCCGCCAAGGTACCTACCAAGGCCCCAATAATGATTCCAACTTCTGGATCTGGAGGATATAAGCAGCTGGTTAGTAAAGTGGAACATATGTCTGCTTCATACATGTGCATTTGTGACCAGTAGGACTATTTGGGGCATTCATATAGGGGGAAAGAGACTTGTATAGGCTGGGAGCATGGGAAAACCTTGAACTCTGCCAGTTAGACTCATAGTAGTGGAAGAAAGATGCCTGGCTCAACTGTGTAGCTTACCCATTCACATTTATTTATACACATAAACTAAAAAAAATATGCTAACTTGTGGGAGGCGGGGTCTCTTTAAAAACGAGGTTTAGAAAAGTGAGTCTTCAGTGTACATTTGCTTGGTCGCTGAGAAAGACACTATGGAGCTGCAATCTGGTAACCAGAGAAGTGACCCGTTATAGGAAGGGACATTTTACCAGGCTTTCCCAGAGCATAGGTGAAGTAGGTCCCTAAAAACCTCTCCCACAAATTCCATGTTCACCATGGAGCTTCATGCATTCTGGCCATTGGAAAAGGATATACCCATTTTCATAAACAAGTGTCTAGATCAGTGTATGGAGAATCTTAATGAGTGTGAGACAATTCACCTGAGCACCAGACCTTAAAGTACTGAGGTATTGTCCTCAAGAGGCTATGTTTGGGTTCCAGGCAGGCCCATCCCCTTCTGCCTTCCCTCAAATAAAGGTGAATGTTTTATATTTTGAGACAAAAGACTAGTTGAATTGCCTGATTATTCTTTTAACTTTTTTTTTAATGATTAAAACGATGCATATGCATAACTTAGAAAGACAAACAGTTCTGTTAGACTTCTAACAAGAAAACAGAGGTCCCCCATTTCTGAGTTCCATTCACTAGAGGCAACCGTTCTTAAGTCTTTTTGTTTTTTAATCTTTTGGAATTTGCCCCCTTGTTTCCATTATGCTTGTTCTGATACCTCCTGCCTTTTCCAATTTTTGTCATTTTCTATTGACTTCCTACTCTAGAAGTTGAAAATTTAACTATCTTATATCGTTCCTCTCACACCCTGCCACATTCTCCTAATATAGTTATAGCACAAGTTGTAGTTAAATCCAAGTTTGCAGTATTATGACTATGTAAATATCGTTCACAGCTGCAGAACATGGTGTATATTATGATCTTATACAACATTTAAAATTTTTCCTTGAGGATAGTAAGTACCTCATTTTTTAAAATACATTTAAAAAATGTATTATCACTAATCTCCAACTCTCCAGCAAAATTGTTAAACTCCTCTTAATAGATTCAGACACATCAGATAATCTATTGGTTTCTTTCCCCCACCCCTCAAAGACGTCTCTTCTGAAATCCTCCAACTTCCTCCCCCAGCATGAACTGGATGCACTTCTAAGCCTGCTGCTCTACTGCCATCCTTCAACTGACTTTCACCTTCACTCCTGTTTTAAAGATAAAGAAACAGCCTTTCCAAGTCCCTTCAAGATCCAGTCCAAATAGCACTTCATTGGTAAAGCTGGTCCTGGTTCTATAAGTGTAATTGATTGTTTCTTCTTTAGTATCCTATATGCTACCGTGTGCAGACCTCTATTATAGCATTTAACATATTTTAGTGTTTGTTTGTCCCTCTATCTAAACTGTAAGATCCTTGATTGTAAGACGTATATCTTATCAACTTCTATATCTTTATCACCTAGGACAGTCTCTGGCATACAGCAGATATTCAGTGAATATTTTAGGAAGGAGGGGGACAGGAAGAAAGGAAGGAAGGAAAGAAGCCAAATGCCAACATCATCGGAAAGAGGATTCAAAAGGAAGCAAGGCTCAAGTGCAAGTCCTAAGAGTTTCTACATCCACAGTACAATTGTACCTCTGGAAAGGCAAAAAGGGTTTGACAAAGATCTAGAGAAAAACAACAGAAATGATCAAGGGACCGAGGACACAATAGGAATACAGAAAAGGAAAGACCAAAAAGGTGAGATTTCTTCACTTTGGAAAATAGCTGAAAATTATATGAAAATGAATGAGCAACCTAGAGCTGGAAAATGTTGGATTCAGGACAAATACAAGGAAGAAAGCTTCATAGTAGAGCAATAATCCAGTGGAATGGGCCACCCTGCATAAGGTACATATTAAAACCACAGATTCAAAATAAGTTAGAAAAAATTAATAGATAACATTATCCTGTTATTAAAGTGATCTTTGAGAGGTGTTGCAAGACATCCCTTTGTAAAAGCTTGCCCCTGACTGGCCCAATTTGACGATCCCAGGCCCTCAAGTCTATGCTTAGTAACTAAGTGCCTTTAAACTGGAAGGTTGAGATTTAGAAGCATCCTGGCACAGCCAGTCACTAACTGGATGATCTTGGGCAAGTCACTCACTGCCCTGAACTTCAGTTTCCTTTTAAGTAAAATGAGGCTAACAATATATTCTGCCTCCTAGAAAGGGTGGTTGGAAGATTGAGTGAGATAGTGCTCTCAGCACATGGCTGAGTGCCTGGCACATAATTTGTGCTCCACATATTAGCTGCTGTGACTGTAGGTACGAGTACTCTTTTTGTTATTATTATTAGAGGCAGATCTTAGCAAATTAGTTAAGAATTGGAAAGTTTGTGAGCTCTGTGTTAGACATAGATTGCTACAGTTTTACCTGGATTTATCAACAGCATAACAAGGAAAATTCAGCCTGGTACTATTAATGAGGCTGTTGTTTTATTTATTAAATAGTAATACCTACTCTTGAGATTTTGTGAGGATTAAATAAATAAATTTTTGTAAACTGTTTAGGGCAGTGTGTTGTACATATCAACTATCATGTAAGCATTAGATATTAGGACAATAATTAATCATTTCAACCTATAAATAAAGCACCAAAATCTCCAGAGAGGCAGGAAGTATTAACCAGGGATGTTAATTAATTTACTTGGTTGGCAGGCCCAGGATACTTGACTTAAGGAGGAACTGTTAAAATTGTGTGGTCAACTCACGTGAAGCAGTTAGATCGATTTCACAGGAACTATTGCCAAGGTTGTTGATCGCAGTGCACTGGTAATAACCTTCTTCAAAATTAGTCAGATTTCCAATAACCAAAGTACCGGTGACTGGATCTGTCAAAACCAGGATATAGACATTTGAAATATTTTATGTAGGTACAGATTGTGTCAGTGTAGCAGATCTTCAATTCCCACCCACTTCTTCATATCAACCTCCCTTTCTTGAGATGTCCAGGGTCCAATTAGACCCTTGGCGACTATTCCAAAGGTAGCCCACCTAGGACCATGCCATTCTCTCCAAAACTAGGCTTGACTTTTAGAAGTTGGGGTTAAGACCAGATGACAATCATCTTGTTAGGAGAGAGACATTTTTTTTTTACATTCCTTTCCCAGGAAAATAGAAGATTAAATTGTAAAGATGAGCAGTAGGCCACATATATATGTCGTCAGCTATCACACACACCATGCCTTGCCAGGGGCTGCTGAGGACTATACCTACCGAATCTTCCTTTCACTGGGATGATGTCTCTTCCTTCAAGTTTATACCAGTGGTACACAGGGGAAGGTGTTCCAAGCACCGAAAGGCAAGAAAGAGATATAGGACGGCCAGTTTCTGGTATTCCTTGAATGCTGCAAAAGGGCTTAGAAGGTTTGACTGTAAAGCAATGATAAAGAGTAAAAACCTTATAGGATGAATGACAGCCTGTAACAATTGCAGTCACTTCCTCACTTTCATTTTGTTTTTGTGCGCTTTTTTTTTTTTTTTAATCTTAAAAACTTATTTTGGCAGTTTTCTGTTTATACCACTAGATGGAAGTAGAGCACTTCAGATGCAGGGACCTTCCAGTCACCAAGCCATTAACATTCTAATAGTGTTTCTTCTGTCTGCCTCCTCCCCAGATTCATAACCATGAATTTCCACATTGTATCTTAAAATATGGCTTTTAAAAAAACAATCAAATGTAAGCAAACACTAAAACAATTAGGAGTATAGTTTATACTCTTGAAGCACAGTTTTAAAGGAGAATAGAACCCTTAAATACTTTGAGATAGATTGTTATTTTTTCTTTTAAAAAAAATGCTGTATTGTGTCATATTTTTCTTTTTCCTTTTCCTTTATGAGTCATTTTTGCCATTTATTCTTCTGGGGGTTTGCACACAATGGTTGGAGGGTTTCAATTTGCCTTTGTCACTCATTGATAGGGGAAGCCCATTTGGGGGTAGGGTGTGCTGCAGAGTGGTGAAATCATCATTCATTTTTCACTTTTTCACTCCATAAGTAAACACTTGAATGCCTTCTGTGTGCCTGGCACTGGTCTAGGGCACCAGAAATTAAAAAGTAATTGTGATACAGTTCTGAAGTGGAGTGTAGGGAGTGGTGAAAGAGGAGACCATAGCTTGGAGGGCTTTGTATTTCACGTATTTTATACTGAAAGCAGGAGGACCACGGAAGGAATTTAAGTAAGGGAGGGATGATGGCCATTTTAATATTTTACCTGGATTACTGTGGCTCTGGGGATGCCTGAAACAAGGGAGAGGAGGAGACAGATTCAAGAAGTACTAACAAGTCAACAGTACTTGAGAACTAACTGGATATGGGACATGAGGAAGATGATGGGGTTGGTGATGGGAACATGAGCTTGCCAACATCCTCTGAGATAAAGAATACAGGAGGAGGAG